GGGAGGCCGGGCGAGCCGGCGGCGGGGGCTCCTGCAGCTCTGGCCATGTTTTACCGCGCAGCAGCTCGGAAATGGGGGCTCCTTTAACAGCTTTTCCGCTCGAGGAGGTGTGTGGGGGGGTCATTTCAGTTTTTCTGCTTTAAAGAAAAAGAGAAATCGGGCAGTGTATGCCAGGAAAAAACTCCCGATAAAGATTAGGCAAGAACAAAGGAACTGCAGTCCTCACTGGGAGTGGCACGTTTTGTAATCTAACCTAGTCTAATCCATGTGCCGTCCTCTCCATCTGGGACTTCTCTTGGCATGGTGAGCTCGCTGTAGCTGCAGAGGAGGCCCACACTGCTGCTGGGTGCTCTTGCTTGGAAGGGAGGACACAGCCCCTCTGCTGTGCTCTGGCTGTCCCCTCCCCACCAGATGTACAAGCCGTGTAGAAGCTATGGTGACTGGAATTTGCTCAGAGATAATTTCTTCCAAGTACTGGACTAGAGGAACGGTTGCTGTGACTCACCCACCCTAATCCCTATGCTTGATGTGCACACCTATTTAGTTGCTCTTCTAAAAACAGCAAATAAAGCAGGCTTTAGTTGCTTATTTATCTTGCTCATTTATGTTTCCTATAATAATTCTTTTCCAAGTGGCAAAAAAGCCTCAAAATGCCAGTGCACGAGACAGCTCTACCCTTTGTTTACCTTGGTTTGACACATCTATTAACATTATTCCTGGAGCTAGTGCACAGGAATGAATGCTTTGACAGTGGTTAGTAGGTTTGAATGAGGCGCTTTCTATTCTAGAATACTTCCAAGTCGTGATCTTAATATTTGAACAACTGCTGTACAGTTGTGAGAAGTTTGGTCTACACCTAACAATGTGATCTCTTTTAGAGGCTTTTGTCAGGAAACGTGTAGCTGTTGTCTGTTGTTGCATGTGAATTGTATACTGGTATAACAGTGCAGAAACCTTCCAAGCCAACGTGTGTGGGGTTTCTTTTCCTTAGCACAGTTGCCCTACACTACTTGACTTTAAAAATAAGTTACTTATTTATTTTTAAAGCAATCAAAGTCACCTAGAGAAGAACATGTAAGACTCTAGAGAAGAAGACTGTAAAACAGTCCACTTACATGTATTATTTTTGCTGTAAGCATAAACAGACGGGTGCAGTTACAGGGAACTGGAAGGGGTACAGGAAGTTTTTGACCATCACGGTTCTCCTGCTCTGTACATTAACAGCTCTCAGTCACTGTGTTAGGATGTTAACAAAGGGCAAGCCCACTTGTCTGGGTGTTAGGTGCGGAAGGCTGAGCATGCAAGCAAAGCCAAAACCGGACAGCAGCCCTGAATCTTGTTATAAATAATAATAAATGGCAACAGAAAAACAGACTAAGAAGCATTTACACAGGTAGCTTCTCAATATGTGGCTAAACATGCCAGCCCTGTCATGGGACGGTAGAGCTAGAAGAGAAGAAGCCCAAGAGCTCCCTGGCCTTGCAGGATAAGAAGTGCTGTTCTTGTCGCTGAATCCGCTCCGTCTATTTTTGGCAGAGTGAAGATGAGTGGTGAGGATATTATTCCTGTGTGCGCAGTGCAACTTGGAGAAAACTTCTGCCTCTATTTTGCAGGTAATTACGACCTCTTGCTGAAAGAGACAAACCATGTCTGAACTCCTCTTAGAAGAGCAAAAGCTGCTACACAATTCAATCTGTACTTGTTTTGGCAGATGCATTTTTGTGGCAAGTTTTTTTTTTTCCCCAAAGTATCTGAACAATCCTCAAAGCCATGACAAAATTACTTTATTGTAGACGTAATCTGAACTGAGCCGTTCACCCATAAGTAACCCAAGGACATTTGTATGTCTCTCCATTTCGAGGCGCCTCAAGTTTTCATATGTCCTTGTTGAGATTGTTGTGCTCATAATTAAAACAGAGCAGCTCAGTTGGGGTTAGTGGTACCTGGCGAGTAGAACTGCAAATAGCTAGGTGCCTGGAACAGAAGTAGCTGGAAAACGATGTCTTCTGTGAGGGCAAAACTGATTTTTTTTTCCATTCTCTTTTTCCCACCCTGCCCTCATTCTTCATTGGAACGAAGATGATGATGGTAAGCTGAAACTCTGTCACGGCCTGAACTAAGCTGCTCAGCCTTACTAACCCACAAGTGCTTTGCATAGCTTGGCCAGTAAAGTTTCAAAGAGTTTGATGGCTGGTACGGAAGACTCGCAGCTCACCTGATGCTGCCTTCTTTCCTCCTGTATCGGGTAGTAGCTTCCCCCAGTACAAGGGGTAACCTCATGGTGCAAGTATAATTGCTGGGCAGGAGAGAGAATTTCTGGCGGCTGTACTTCCTGTAACACACTCAGTAGCCTCTCTTGCTTGTTCTCCGAGTTGCTCGTGCCCTGGAAAATCCTTACGTCTTTATTGGGTTGCTAAAAGCTAGTGGGAGGGAGAAGGGCAGGATGAAGCGGGCTCCATTTTGTTTGAGACTGACCTTTGAAGAAATTATTTTGCCTGATATCTTTAATGGCACAACGAAGCCTGTGGTGATCTTCTAAGAGCAGGGGACATTACAGCTAAAATATTTGATCCTCTTTGCTTAATATTTATTCAGAGCTGGAATGCGATGCCTTGTCTGAGGAAAAAATATTCCAACACCGAGTCTTCCGAAATGTAAATAGACAGTTGCTTGTGTTTCGACCAGATCTGCAGCTGGCCGCGTTTGAAAACGTGACAGATCAGGAGATGAAGTGTGGTACAGCATTTTTCAATTCCCTCCTATAACTATTGTGATGTCCTTTTATTCCAGATGTGCTTTTGTTCTTTGCAATCTCTCAGCCTAAAGGGCATGACTGACAGTAAAGGCGTAAAGCTTCAGCTGTAGCTTGCTCGTACCCCAGCTTAAGCATAAAGCTAAGCTAAAACAGCTGAAGCTTTGCCTGCTGCGTGCATTGATAAGAAAATGCAAAAGCCTTTTGCAGCAGGAGCCAAAATTACAAGTTCTACTTAACGGGTTCCCTGCACTTCAAACAGTTCTGAGATCTCCCCAGAGGAAAGGGGCGCTAAGATTTTTGTGTTACAGGTTTAAACAAGCGTAATGCATTTAACAGCAAAATCTTGCTCTTTTGTTTTCTAACAGCTGTAGTTAACATTGTATTTATGGTTTGTTTGTTTGTTTTTTTCGGGGGGGGGCAGCAATTAATTCAGGACCATATTTACAGACCACATTTATTTGCAGATCACAGATGTGATCTGATTTACCAATCACTATTTACAAATCCAATTCTCACTTTGTGCATGCACACAGAAGGATTTGAACATCCATCCCACACCAATAGGTAAGTCATCGATCTTCCTACAAATTCAAACTTTTAGTTGCAGAGTGTTGGCAGAATGTCACATACCTGTTACTAATGGTCACACAAATTAGAAGGCCTGGCTGCTTGGTCAGAAAAAGTGGCCTGGCAAGACAGCAGTTACCCATGGAATGGTAAAATACAGAAACGCGGGTTAAGTTGTTGCAGCTCTCCTTCACTCTGCAAACTCTAAAGGATAAATAATTTATATTTAGGCAGTGGAATGCACTTCAACATTCACTGTTACAAAACTACCACACCTTCAACAGGGATGCCTGTTGCATTCAGCATTCAGATACAGGACAAGAATTACTACATGTGCTGTGAGGAAAAAGAGATTGGGAAACCGATAGTTCATTTTAAGGTAAATATCTTGCATGTGCTTTCCATACCACCAATATGTATACTATGCATCTAAAATTAAACATGCAGACATGGGTGAGTTGAAATGAAACTTCATAAGTTTTATGTTGGCAATAACCAATTCCCTTTTCCTTCCTCAGGAAGGAAAAGTTCCCACAGACATTCCTCAAGAAAGTAACTTCATTTTCTTCAAAAAGACATTTACTTCTTGTAGCAACCAAGCTTTCAAGTTTGAGTATGCACTAAAACAAGGCATGTTCTTGGCCTTTGAAAATGAAGGCTGCTTGAGAAAATTAATTTTAAAGAAAATGTCAAGTGAAGATGAAGTGGATGAAACCATGAAGTTTAACTTAAATCAGAATGAAAGTTATAACTAGTGACATACTTTGATCATCTTGCAATGTATTCTCTGACTTAATAAATAAATAAATAAATAAATGTCTTGCACTTTTTTTTGTCCAAGGTCAGCTAGTTTTATATTTTTAACTTGCTACCGTAAGTCAGTAAAAAAATCTTTAGTGTCTTCTGCTGAAACAGCTTTTTGTAGAAGGTTTTGTTGTAGGGGGAACCTGTAGGATTTTTTTGATAGAAAACTGATAACAACACAGCTTGATTAAAAAAATAACACAGTGAAAATGCATTGAAAACATTTTAACAAACCCCAATCTAGGGAAAAAAAAATGGTTCAAAACCACACACACACAGTTTCTGTAAATTCTTTATTGGATGGATTCAGAAAAAAAGAATCATTTTTTTACATCAACTCTGAGGGCCCAAAGAGTTACAAGGAGTGCCTTACATACAGTTCAGCTGTTAGGATGTTGGAACAACAGTTCAACTTTCCTCAAGTCAAATTTGTTTTACATAATAAGAAAACAAAACAGTATTATTTTAGAAAAAGAAGGGGAAAAAAAGATCAAAATGATACTAAAAGTCAGTAATCTTCAGCTGTTTGAGTCTGTTATTAACTGCTTCCTCCCAATTTATAGTAAACTTTAAATCAAGTTGTTCTTGCCTGGGCAGAATTCACTTTAAATCTACTTGTCTTCCAACATTTTTACTGCTTTTGTAATAAACCAAAAAATGATGAATACTGATCTCTGAATGACTAGCTCTGCAATTACTCTTGTGGTTTGTACATGCTACGGACCCCTTGTCAGTCATTTCTCCTGCATTAAACATCTCTGTAAAAACACAATAAAGCAGAGGCAGCAGTGAACAATCATGTTTGTCAGGGACCTGGTCACACCTCAGAGACTCCAGAGCATGGCCACAGCCTTGCAGATACCGACATCGTGGTAGTTAAAGTAGCAGAGGCCAGCGAAGGTAACGGCTGAGAGCACATACAGACCTGCATTGGCCACTTTAATGGGCATCTCTCCATGGACGTAGTCAGTTATAACCTGTCCGAGACCCCTAGGGAGTAACAGAGAGACAAGGAAACAAGCTGAGAACGGCAAAGAGCATTCCTCACCGAAATCCTCCCGACTTCCGCGAGCACTCTGCTCTAACCGATACCATTTCTCTTCTCTTCTCTGTGCTACTCGTGTAAATTAGTTCAGTCGCATCATTTCTCTCACCCCCTATCACCGTTTCCTACAGACAAAAACAATTCCCAGTAAAGAAAAAAAACAGCAAAGGCATTTCAGAAGAGTCACTCCAGGACTCATTCTACTTCAGTTTTCTTAATGATATTGATAACTAAGATGTTGAGCCCAACTCTTGAAAACAGATAATGTGCCTCCGACAAACCGTGGGCAGCTGGCTAATCTGGCTTCCACGGACACAAGTAACTAAGGGAAAACACTTCTCTCTTGAGCTGCAACATGTGGCGGGTGGGCAGCCCCTTGCACAAAACATGCCAGGAGGCATGCTTAGAGTAGAAAACAGCAGCAACAACAACAAAGCACACTCAGGGATTTCGCTACACACTGTCACACTGGAAATGCACTCTTTTTTCCACATTTAATCTATCCTGCCATAGAAAGACAAGGGCCATGACTACAGCGATGAGATAGTTCTATTCCTGAAAAAAACAGTGACATTTGCCTTTGGCAGGGACAGACGTCACCCAACAAGAGAGAGAAGCTTTGAAAAACTTGGTCTGGTTCTCTTCTCCTCTGTTCACAGCACACCGCTGCTTCTCCACGAGTAAAATACTGCTAGACACTACACTGACGGACAGATCTTATGTCTTGAAGTAGAATGTGGAGAGTAAAACAAAACAACAAAAAGCAGTCACTAGCAAGGAAGGCTCCCAATGCAAGATACTGTATTCCCTGCAAGGCACAGGATACCGACTGGAGAACACTACAGTGTGGTAAGCTCACCACTTCAGTTTAACAGCAGTATCCATCCCGCCTGCCGCTGGAAGAGCAGTGTGACAGAGACCCCAGGTAGAGCTAGCCTTGTTCAAGATGATGACAGTAACCAGAACTTGCAGAGTGAGGATTCGGAAGGTGTTGCTCTCTAGGGGTTTCACAGTAATGATGTAATACGTAAGACTTAACTGCCCTACAGGGAGCCAATCCAGGGCTTTAGCCTAAGGCTCGGGCCCATCGTGGCTGTGAGACTCGCTTTTCAATTTTGAGGGCCCTGCTGTGCTTACCAGTGACCATGGAGAGTGAGGGCTGCAGCCAGGGAATAGTCCACGGCCGGTCCCGGACACAGATAGGCTGCAGGAAGGAGGCCCAGCAGCAGGACGCTGACGGCTCGCTCACCCGTCCAGTGCAAGGACGCAGCCTTGGAAGCGCCTGCAAGGAGAGCACGTTTCAGCACAAAGGTCCTGGTCTCGGTGCCGCAGTCTCAGCAAGAGCTGCCTCGTGCTCATCACCACGGCGCCGTTTTCCCCAACCCGACTGCCAGGCTGTTAGCCGAGTAAAATGCAAGTGCCTTGGAATTACTGCTGGAGTGCATGTAGCTATCTGACAAAGGTTCTCAAAGGTTCATTTCAAGTATTCCTCTCTCTGCTGCTTTTCAGAAAGAGAAGGTTTAGGAAACCTAGGAAAGCCCTAGTCAAGAAAATATCAATAGGCGAAGTCAAAAGAAACAGCAAGGCTAAGCTGACAGTGCACAGTTCAAGAACAAGGTCAAGGTCAAGCACCACAGGAAACAGAAATCTCTAAAACCAAAACCTTTCCTTGTCTGGTGAACTTCCTGAGCGTTACCAACACTTATTACTCCTATGGGACTCAAAGGGCTTCAACTCTGCATAGACACAACTAGAGATGCCAGCAAATGCACCTCTACAATAACTCGGTGCATGGTTCTGCCTGGCCAGCATTGTTATTTTTAACTGCAACTAGTGAATTCTCCTATTGGGACCATCACGGTGATGAATAAATGGTCCAGTAGTAGTCTGAAAGCACAGGGATTTCAGTCCCTCCTAGGCATCCAGAGGTGTGCAACACAGTCCACAGAAGAGATTCCCCTACACCTAGTTCACAAACTTTGACATCAACCTGTGCTTAATGCAAGTTTGCAGGTATTAGTGGTGAAAACAGAAAGTCTCAGAAGATTCTGGAAGATACTAAAACCCACGATATTCTAAGTGGCATTTTGAACCTAAATATCAACGGCTGGTGCCATTACCCTCAGAACACACCCCACGAAATGCCTGCCTGACACACAGATGACATGCAGCTATCTCAAAGCAAAAGCTAAGGGAATTTTAAATACCGGGAAGCATTTCTTTCTCACTACAAGAAGAGCCAGATTTCATAAGGTAACCATAAGAAAAGCTAAAGATTTGCAGTGAAACATGAGAGACTGAAGCTGGGCACTAACAACCTCTCCCTGTGCTATGCAGCACATGTGTGAAATCTGCTGTCGCTCTAACCTTTGGGAACTGGAATCTCTTTGGCTTCAGGGTGCTGGAACACTACACTATGCTGCCTATGGAAAGCTTGGTTAATGCAGCCTGTGATTCCCTTTCACCGATTTTTATTAAAAAGGCCAGCAAAAAAATGGCTGGAAATGGCTTAGCTGCGGTCAGGCAGCTTATTTACAAGCCCTGCCTTGTACTTTCTACCTCTAAGTCACAGCGTGACAGCTACAAAACACTCTTGACCTTTTCTCAGGAAGCTTCCCCACGGCAGGGCCGCACGGGGTGGGCACTGTGTCTTCCACCGCCTCCGTGCGCTCGTGCCATCTCGGGGGTGGAGAAAACAGCGTGAAGCACCGGCTCTGCCCGCGGTCAGAGTAAACTGAGTGCTGCGGGGCCAGCGGTCGAGGAGGGGCCGCGAGGGCTGCTTTTTCACGGTACGGTCGCCCAGGGCCCTAGGGCACGCGCACATCCGTCTCTGCGGTCCTGTCCTGCGGCGGTTTGTGGCAGGGAAGTGGAGGGCTGCGGCAGGCCGGCCCGGGGAAGCCCCGCGGGGGCAGCGCGGGACGTACCGTGCGCGGGCCGCGGGGCGCCGTGGCTCTGGCGGG